ATCATCGTTATGGCTAATTCGAGTACGCTTTCGCATTCAGTTTACAGGCATGTTTATCGAGTATGAGATTATGTTTATGTTTGATGGTTAGAATCAAAATCAGGATTATTATTATTATTATTATTATTATTATTATTATTATTATTAATTTTCCAACAACATGTTGGTGGTAGGCTCCAACAAAGTTTGAATCCAGGTTCTGAAGGCAAAGTTGGCTAGGAAGTCTGATATAAAGAATTATGGACCAACAAACAAAATTTTAGGGATGCAAATTCACCACGATATAAAAGATAAGAAGGTTTAACTTTATTAGAAGAATACTTACTTAAGATCTTGTAGTGTTTCAACATGCAAGGGTGTAAGCCAGTTTTTACCTTATCTTCTATCATGTTATCCTCAAGTATGAGTCCTAACAATGAAATAGGGAAGATGAAAATGTCTCTCGAGTATTGTATGCATCAATGGTGGGAAGTCTTTTGAATACCATGATCGGTACAAGACCAGACATTGCAGTGGGAGCGATTAGTAGATCAATGGAAAATTATGGTGGAGAGCCTGAGTATTATCATGAGAATTCTTATCAAATGAACATTGGATGTTGTATTATGTTTCAGAGGATCAAAACTAGTTGTCAGATGCAATGTTTGTTCAAGTTTTGCAGGTGATCTTGATGAGTTTACCTTTGTTGGAGAAGCAATAATTGGTTATCCAAGTTATAGGATATTGGATCTTTGTTTATCACAGAAGCTTAGTATATGGGAGTCACTCAGGCATGTTATTTGGATTAAGAGGATAATGTAGGAACTTAAATACTTTCTAGGGATGGACTTACTTCAAGAAACTAGCATACTCGGGTGCAAGACAGTCAATACTCTCATAGAACCGGAAAAGAGAGGTGAAGAGGAAAGTCCACCACCTGATAAAGATATATATCAAAGACTAGTTGGGAAACTAATCTATCTAACTCGCACCAGGCCCGACATTGGGTTTTATATAGGCTATTATTCCTTTGTGTGGAGAAACTTTGTGACTTGGATAAGCAAGAAGCAACATGTGGTGGTAAGAAGTAGTGCAGAAGCTAAATTCAAAGCTATGACTCAAGGTATTTGTGAAGGAATTTGACTTAAGAGGATGTTAGATGAAATTCTAATAAATTACAATATGAGGATAATGTGTGACAACAAAACTGCTAAAAGCATAGCAAAGAACCCAGTCCACCATGATAGGACAAAGCATGTGAAAATTGACCGATACTTCATTAAAGAAAAAATTGATTATGGTATTATAAGTGTTTACCATGTTCTATCATGCAGACGAACGTGACAAAGACTCTTCCAAGGAACACATATGAAAACATTAGATCCAATTTGGGTAAGATAGACATCTACCATCAATACTGTCAATTAGAATAATTTAATTATGATAGAATTTAATGATGAAATAATTAGTTTTATTTTGTTATTTATGCACAATAATATACAATATTTACAAGGAGAATATTCTCTCATTTTTAGAGATAGATTTGTATATAGATTTATTATCTTGTATTTTATTTATACCTCTTTTGTATATTTTTCAAAATAAAAAACATCGTAATGTAATTTCCGCATATATATATATATATATATATATATATATATATATATATATATATATAAATAAATGTGTTTATGGTTTTAAAAAATTTGTTGGAAAAAATATTTAATAATTATATATAAATCCTGTTTTAAATAAAGGATGAGGATAGGGATAAAAAATTTAAAATTGAAAAATAAATTATTTTAATAAAAAAATTATTAAACAAGTCCTTAATAATTTTTTTACATAGTTAATTACATTGATAATATATATGATAAATAAAATAATAGCAATTTATAAATATAATATTAATATTAATATATATATATATATATGATAAAAATATAAGTAATTTATTTTATTTTAATTATTTTTTAACACAAATAAATTATTATTATTATTATTATTTTCCTATGTCATTTGATCTAAAAAATAAGAAGATATAAATAAAAAGAATGGAAAATATTTTATTATTATTTTTCTATATTAGATAATTAAAATTTTGGATTAAAATTTTAATATTTATATAAAAATAAAAATTACTTGGTATAATATCAACTTAGATGTAAATCACATATACACGTTTGACTCAATTCAACATGAAACTAAACGTGTATAATTTTAATAATAAAATACATTTTATTAGGTAATTTTTAAAGTTCGTTTTACCCAATATTTAATGAATAATATATAAAAAAATTTAAAAAAATTGTGATAAATAAAAATTCTAAAACGCAATAATAAATTGAAGAAAATAAATTAAATTCAATATTAAATTTTAAGAATAACAAAATATTATTTTATTCAAGTGATATTATTTCATTTCACGAATGAAAAGTTAATTTTTTTTACTAATTTTGAATTTTCTAAAATTAAAAATTAAGGCTTACGTAACTAAATATAATTCGAAATAAACTAAAATATGTTGTAATTAGTTAACGAAAAAGTTGGTGAAACATTATTCATTATGTGATCACTTAACGATATAAAAGATTGTATTTTATAGATGAAAGTGAATTTCTAAATACAAATGTGAGTTTTACCTAAGTTGCAAAATCGAGAATCTGTCAACAAACTTACCAAAAACAACTTTTTTTCTCTATAGACTCAAATTCCTTATTTTTAAGCGTTTTTTAATAAAAAAGTATGTAATCTAATTTATATTTTTAAGGAGAAGAAAATAAAAGAAATTGGGAAATGAAAATGCACTTTACTTATATGCTATGATAATAATAATGAGATCAATCTTTCATGAGAATGTCTTGATAATATATTTATTATAATAATATTATTATAGTTAATTTTTATATTCAGATATTATTTATTTTGAAATTTTCATTTTTTATAATTATATTTTTTAAAAATGAACTTGATGATTAAGAAAAAATAAATATAAATTATCTTAATCTTAATTTTTTAAATCAGGTCATATTTATGTACTAGAATATAAATTAAAATAATTTTTGTTTTTATTAATTTTGTTTCTGATAAAAGTTAAATTTGCAGTTATAATAATTTTTTAATTTTCAAAGTATAATCTATATAATATTATTTTGCTTAGTTAAATTTTTTTATTGAACTAAAAATAAAATAAAATAATTATTAAAAACAAACAATATGGAAAAACAAAAACATATTTTGAAACTATTTTCTATCATTACATGAAAAAAAATCCTCGTTAAAAAAAAGAAAAAAAAACTACAAACCAATTATATACATAATTTGATCCACTACAACAATTTAAATTTTATAATAAACTATAACAAATACTCGTGAGGAGAATAAGAAAAAAATAAAAATAAAAAAGCTGCGAATCTGGTAAACCATAAAAGATTATAGAAAAAGAGACAATCGTTTGTGCATGTGTTCAATGGAGAATAAAGACACAGACCTCTTTAAATACGATTTTATAATTAAATATAATATCTTGAAGTAGTAATAATTGAAATGAGTGTGTTTGTGTCCGAACCGCACGTCACAAGTTTGGCGCATCAGAGGTCTTTGTACGTTGATATGATAATTGTCACATAATGCATAATAACGACAGCAAACTTTTTATTTTCCCAGTGATGAGACCGTGAAACAGTAAAACAAAACACATCACACGTTTTCTTTTTCTTTCCAGAAACTTTATGAATATTGCATAAACATAATAACGACAACTCCGACGTGACGATAATGAGGATGCATAAAACAAAACTAAGCCCACAAGAAGTTGTACACCTGTAACCCGAATCATATATATATATATATCTTGCAAACGAATATTCTCCTTTTTATACTTTCATCTTTTTTTTAATAGAAATTCTACTCTATTTACATATGTATAAATAAAAACTTTGATTTTGGTATTTGTAAAATAAACACAATGATTGGAAATTTGAACATAATCCAAATAGTCACGATACGCCACGATTTATCTTGACATTATACGAAATATTTAGAATAATTTGAGATTTTTTATAGATATTCGACAAAATAAAAATAAAATATTTTATCATTTTTAGATGATTATATCGTTAATATTGTCTTATAAATAATTTAATATTTCTTCTTATTTTTTAATTTATGGATTATTTTTATTTATTTATTTATATTTAATACTAATTTAAACATATAATTTTTTTACAGGTATTATTCTCCTTGTCCTCAACCTACTAAAAATGAATTACAGGATAATTGATCGCCATTCAATAACAATGGAATAAACTAAAAGGAGACGTAAAGAAGATTTATTAATTTTTTTATTCTGTTTTAATTCTTCCAAAAAAGAAAATTGTTAAACCATTTAAGTTAAAGTTCTTAAGTTTTCGTAAACAAAAACAAACCACGATGACGCTTTTTTTTTATTTTATATATATATATACGTTTGATTTAAACTTTCATAAAACTAAGATTAGAAGTATTTATTTTGGGAGAATTCATAATGAAAATACTATTTTATGAATTCTGAATCTAAAACGTATTTTATTCTAAATGAAAATTAAAAAAACACTTATTTCAAAATCAATTATATTCATTATTAAATAATTCTGATAGTACAAATTTTAGACCACGGACATCGATTTCATAATATGCTAACAAACTATCAGGTTTCATTTCTAAAGCCACAAATGTGCTTGTACGAAGATTCACAAATCTATATGTTGTGCTTATTTCTTTTGGAGACAAGTGGACCAGAGTTATGTTATAAGGAAGTTTCGGTGGTTGTAATGGTTGTAGGTGGATGCTAGATAAGTGGATCTTGCAGAAAGATGTGGTAGGGTGAAAACCTTTTTGGGCAACGAGAGGTTTAAACGTGTTCCAAGTATCAAAATTTGGAGGATTCCAACATCTTCGATCCTGAACTTTATGGTACACTGGTGTTTGTTTATAACACCATAGTGACCGGTCCAACCATCCACTGTTACTCAACCCCAAAAATGGGACTCCGTTCTTCCATAATACTGCTTCCAGTTGCTGTGTTGCTTTCTCTTGTTGGCTCATCTTTTGCTACAAATTCAGTTCACAACACTTTTGTTCACTGCCTTCTCAACCATTCTGAGCCCTCTCACCCTATAGCTGCAGCAATTTTCTCACAGAACAGTTCCTCCTTCTCTTCAGTTTTGCAAGGCCACATTAGAAACCTTCGTTTCAACACCTCCACAACCCCCAAGCCATTCCTCATCGTCACCCCATTTCATGAATCCCATGTGCAAACAACCGTTGTTTGTGCCAAAAGGTACAACTTCTTGATGAAAATTCGCAGTGGTGGCCATGACTATGAAGGGGCGTCTTATGTGGCTTCACAGCCATTCTTCCTAATGGACATGTTCAATCTTCGATCTATTGAGATTGACATGGAATCTGAGACCGCTTGGGTCCAAGCTGGTGCAACACTTGGCGAACTTTACTATAGAATTGCCGAGAAGAGTAAAACTCATGGTTTCCCAGCAGGGGTTTGTCCCACTGTTGGGGTGGGAGGTCACATTAGTGGTGGTGGCTATGGAAATCTCATGAGAAAATATGGCACTTCGGTGGACAATGTTGTTGATGCACAAATAGTGGATGCTCAGGGTAGATTGCTTGATAGAAGAACTATGGGTGAAGATCTCTTCTGGGCAGTTAGAGGTGGTGGTGGAGGTAGCTTTGGTGTGATACTTGCCTACAAAATAAATTTAGTTAGAGTTCCTGAGAAGGTAACTGTTTTCCAAGTAGGCAGAACTTTGGAGCAAAATGGCACTGACATAGTTTACAAGTGGCAGCACGTTGCGCCTACCATTGACAATAACCTTTTCATTAGGCTCATACTGGGGGTGGTGGACGGTACACAAGTTGCAAAAAAGACTGTGAGAGCTAACTTCATAGCCCTCTTCCTTGGTGACTCCGAAAGCCTAGTTTCTCTCATGAAGGACAAGTTTCCTCAATTGGGATTGAAGCAATCAGACTACATTGAAACAAGCTGGCTGCAATCTGTGATGTTTTGGGACAACATAGACATTACAACCCCGGTTGAGATTTTGCTGGAGAGACAACCTCAGTCCATGAAGTACTTGAAAAGGAAATCTGACTATGTGAAGAAGCCAATTTCCAAGGAGGGTTGGGAGGGGATTTGGAAGAAGATGATTGAATTGGAGAAATCAGTGATGTATTTCAATCCTTATGGTGGAAGAATGGCTGAGATTCCATCAACAGAAACTCCTTTCCCTCACAGATCTGGGAACCTGTGGAAGATCCAATACCAGGCAAATTGGTACGAGGCAGGGGAAGAGGTAGCACAGTACCACATGAACTTGCTTAAAGAACTTCACAAATACATGACACCCTTTGTCTCCCAAAACCCAAGACAAACTTTCATGTGTTACAAGGACTTGGATTTGGGCATCAACCACCACGGTTTTCTTGGCTACTTCAAAGGAAGGGCTTACGGAGTCCAATATTTCACGCATAACTTCAAAAGGTTGGTTGAAATAAAGAGCAAGGTTGATCCTACCAATTTCTTCAGGACTGAACAAAGCATTCCGGTACTCAGCTATGTGGAGTTTAGAAAATTGATTACTGAAAAATCGGTTCTTTCTCTTTTGTTCGGGTTGTTCGCACTACATTGGTTTCGGAATCTCAAGTAATATGCATTCGTCTTGTAATTATTAGATCTCTGTGTCTTTTTCGTCTTACCAAACAATATTGTCGTGTTGAATCTAAATAAATTTGGTTTTGGAAATAATATTGATAATTCAGATGCATTTGTCAGTTTTAACTATAACACTCAAACCTTTGCAGAAATTATGGGGAGTTGTTGAGTATGGATTATTTTATTATTTTTGTAGAACCATCTAAATTGACTGCTACCTTGTTTTTACTCTAAAAAATAAATTTTTTAAATTTAAAGAAAAATAAAACATAATTAAATCATTGAAAAGAATAGTTTATCGGGGAAATATTGTGTACAGTACCTATTCGTTTTTTAATTTATTAAATAGCATATTATAGATTTTATTTATCTAGATAGCACAATTTTTTGTTAAGTTGAGAATTCGATTTTTCAAAATGCGAAATCTAAACGTAATTTTATTTTATAATTTTTTCAAACAATTTAGAATTTGATTTTCTGACATCCGAATTTTGAATAGTTTTCTTTTTATTTTGTTAAAAAAAAACTAACTAATATATATATATATATATATAATATGTTATAATATTTTATTTAACATTTATATTTTTAAATTAGGTATTTAAAAAGATTTGTATATTTCTAAAATTAATAATATATTTAGATTTATTGTTGAAAATAGTAAAATAATATTTTTAAAATATATTATTAAATATTATATTTAAATTTATTTGTATGATTAAACTTTTTTTAATTTTTTGTTTTATTTGATATTATAATTTTTTTAGAAATTAATAATAAATTAGGAGATAATAAAAATCTTAAAAATTATATGTATATAAGAAGAAATAATATTTTGATGTAAAATTATATATATATATATATATATATATATATTCTAAAATATAATTTATTTTAATTTCTATAATATATATATAAATGAAAATAAATTTTGGAATATATATTTTATATTATAGTAATTAATATAAATTATATTTTAGAATATATATATATATATATATATATATATATTAAATATAAATTATTTTCAAGTTGATAATTATTATTCTAATTTATGCAAAATATATATATGATAGCGGTTCCACTTTAACCGCTCTTAAAAGTGAACATATAATAGCGGTTCCACGTTAACCGCTCTTAAAAGTGAACATATTAAAAGTGAACATATAATAGTGGTTCCACTTTAACCGCTCTTAAAAGTGAACATATAATAACGGTTCCACATTAACCGCTATTATATGTTCACTTTTAAGAGCGGTTAAAGTGGAACCACTATCATACATATATGATTGTAAGAAATAATAGGTAGGAAATGATTGTAATTGAGTAATTGAAAAACTAATCGATTAGTGTTAGTAGGAAATCGATAAAGGGATCGAAAAAACGAAGGAAAGAAAAATCGATGATCATATGATTGGTTAAAAAACTAATAAAGTGAAAAGATGGTTGGAAAGCACTCGATGACCATGTAACAGTATGGACACATAAATCGAGAATCAGAACCGAGAAACAAATTGAGGGATATTTAATGTCTATGGTTGAAGAAAATCGATGAATTAGAATCATGTAATGTTAAGGTTAAGGGGAATAAAAAAAGGTAATGTCAAATTCTCGAGATTTTAAAATCGAAATCGAGGGAAAAGTTAACATGCACGACCATCGAAATTCTGGCTAAGTTAGAGAGAGAGGAACAGTTAACGCGCACATAGAACATGGGAAGCGATTTCTAAACCGTGGCAGAGATCGAAGGTCAAGAGGGCGGTTATCTCATGCATGAGAACGTGAAGTACAGTTTTCAAACCGTGGAACTGATGGACGTGCATGATGGATCGTGGTGGCAGTTTTGTTAACTGCTCTTGGGAGGTTACTTGGAAGGAACTGTAAGACATTATGTAATTTTCCTACGTTATTAATTCATTATAGAAAACTACTCTACAGGATCTTTAGATTATTGATTTTCACATTTGCATACATCAATACATGAATCTAGTAAGAGAACTAACCTTGATCCATGAGAATCCTTTCTTGATCTTTTCGTTCTCCAATCTCCTTTTCCCAATCTATCTCTTTGCCTTTCTTTCTCTTCTCACGCTTCGCTTTCTTGATGGTTTACCGTGAAAAAGACCTTATGGCCAGAGACAGAACCCTAATCCCTTTTATTAACCAACGTCCATCGAGTTGGTTACTTTCAGTTAATATTTTATTTTATCTTTATTTTATTCTGACTTCACATAATAACCAATAGGTCCTTATAATTATTAAATCACATTTGGGCCCATTATTTTATTTCACATGAGTCACATAATGGAATGAATTAATTAAATTAATTCTAACATTCTCCCACTTGACTCATGTGATATCACAAAATTCTGTGATTTAATACTTAAGTCATAATGCGCATTAAATGATCTTACATAAATTGGTTCTATCCTTATTCATAATTAAAGATACAGCTATAACAAGAGTCATGACGGTTACATGTCATTCAATCGACAGGCTCCCTTCCATGTACCACTATATTATCTCTTTCTCCTTAATATGACTTTATAATGAGAAGTCCATAATGGGTTCAAACATAATATCATTTTAAAATAATAACATAATTTGTTTTCTTCATCATAATTTGCATGCATATAAATAAAGAAGAAAACACAAATTTCAGAAACTTATACGTTAAAGATCTCAGAGTGTCACATAACATTAATAATAACATTAACATTCAACTTTCACTACTAGTAAACATAATGCCCATATTTACTATATGGCCAGCAAACAACTTGGGCAGTAATCCCTTTGTTAAAGGATCAGCAATCATAAGATCAGTGCTAATATGTTCTATTGACACTCTTTGTTTCTGAACTTCTTCTTTAACGTCAAAGTATTTCAATTCCATATGCTTAGCACCTTTGGAATACTTGTCGTTCTTAGAAAAGAAGACTGCTGCGGAATTGTCACAATAAATTTTCAGCGGCTTGGCAATGCTGTCGACTACTCCAAGTCCTGAAATAAAATTCCGCAACCAATTAGCTTGAACTGTGGCCTCAAAGCATGCCACAAATTCAGCTTCCATGGTGGATGCAGCAATGACAGACTGCTTCGCACTTTTCCATAAAATCGCTCCTCCGGCTAAAAGATACACATAACCAAATGTAGACTTTCGTGTATCCATACAACCAGCAAAATCTGAATCTATATATCCAATCACCTCAAGGTGATCAACTTTCCTATAAGTAAGCATGTGATTCTTTGTTCCTTGTAAGTATCTTAAAACTTTCTTTGCAGCCTTCCAATGATCCAGTCCAGGATTACTCTGGTATCTACCAAGCATACCAACTGCAAAGCTAATATCTGGCCTCGTACATGTTTGAGCATACATCAAACTCCCAACAACAGATGCATAAGGGATATTTTCCATCTGTTTCCGTTCCAAGTCATTCTTTGGACATTGCATAAGACTAAATCTGTCTCCTTTCTGTATTGGAACGGGAGATGCTGAACACTTCTCCATTCTGAATCTCTCTAAAACTTTATTAATATATGCTTTTTGAGACAAACCTAACAGTCCTTGTGATCTATCACGGAATATTTCTATTCCTATCACATAGTATGTCTCACCCATATCTTTCATTTCAAAGTTGTTAGAGAGAAACTTCTTAGTCTCACTTAATAGACCAAGATCATTAGTCGCAAGCAAGATATCATCAACATACGAGAATCGAAATATAATCTTACTCCCACTGACCTTCGAGATATATACACCGATCAACGAGTGTTTTCCTTAAATCCAAAGGACAAAATAGTATCATTGAACTTAAGATACCATTGTCGAGAAGCTTGTTTAAGTCCATATATTGATTTCTTAAGTTTACACACCATATGTTCCTTTCCTTCTTCAATAAACCCCACTGGTTGATTCATATAAACATCCTCCTCTAAATCTCCATTCAGAAAAGCAGTTTTAACATCCATTTGATGCAACTCAAGATCATAATGAGCTACTAATGCCATGATAATTCTAAAGGAATCTTTCTTAGAAACAGGTGAAAATGTTTCCTTATAATCAATGCCATCTTTCTGAGTAAAACCTTTGGCAACAAGTCGGGCCTTGTAACGTTCGATATTGCCATGAGAGTCACGCTTAGTCTTAAAGACCCATTTACACCCAACACTCTTACATCCTTCCGGCAATTCCACAAGATCCCATACACCATTCTATGTCATTGATTTAAGCTCATCTTTCATAGCATCTAACCATTTATCAGAATTATCACCATTAATGACATCTGAAAATGAAACTGGGTCATTGTCAATACTTAGGTCATTTTCTGACTCTTGTAGATAAACCACGTAATCATTCGAAATAGCAGACTTTCTTTCTCTGTGAGATCTTCTTAATACTATTTCCTGTGGTTGTTCTATTACCGGATCATTGTTTATCTCAGGATCATTAATTTGTTGTTCTTCTTGATTGTCGTGTGATTCTTCAACATTTGGAACAACAACTCTTGAAGATGTACTAGTTATTGGAACTTGTACTCTAACTTCCTTAATCTCCACATTTCGTGAAGCTTCACTCCCACTGGTTTCACCATTTTCAATGAACCGAGCATTTCCAGTTTCAACAATTCTTGTACTATGAGTAGGACAGTAAAACATATACCCCTTTGATTTTTCTGGATAACCAATGAAATATCCACCGATTGTTCTTGCATCCAGTTTCTTTTCTTGCGGATTATAAATTCTTACTTACGCACGACAACCCCAAACATGTAGGTGTTTTAAAGCTGGGTTTCCTACTTGTCCATAACTCAAAAGGAGTCTTTTGAACCGCTTTACTAGGAACCCTGTTCAACAAATACATGGCGATCTTCAAAGCATACATCCACAACGATACGGGTAAACATGAATTACTCAACATACTCCTAACCATATCCATTAAGGTTCGATTACACCTTTCGGACACACCATTTTGTTGCGGTGTGCCTGGCATTGTGT